AAGTTTTTAACTTGCTCTACCGGCACCCCGTCCATTGACCATTTCATTTCTTTGTATTTTTTATGGAAACGCATGATCTTAATAAAGTAGAAATGATCACTAGGTTTGTGGTCTGTTCACCCACGGAACCCACTCTTTAACACCCAGGAAGCCCTGATTGCTATCTTGTTGGTGTAGTGGTTAGGAGCGCGGACTCTAATCTGGGAGAGCCGGGTTTGATTCCCCACTCCTCCCCATGCAGCTGTCGGTGTGACCTTGGGTCAGTCACAAGTGCTCTCAGAACTGTTCTCTCAAGGGATAGGGCTATTTTTGGGCAGGAACACACAGGAACGGAGTTCCGGCTGGCTCCTGAGTTGGCCACGCCCGGCAGGAACTCATTAGCATAACAGGCCACTCCTAACAACAAAAACTCATTAGGATTGGCTATATTAGGGGTGTGTGGCCTAACATGCAAAGAAGTTCCTGCTAACAAAAAAAGCCCAGAGTTTTGACAACAAAGTAAACAGAATAAGAAGCAAAAGGTGGGTGTGGCTGGATGACCACACTTCTGGTAACATGGGGTGTGTGGCCTAATATGTTAATGAGCTGTGCTGTCAGGGGTGTGGCATAATATGCTAATGAGTTTCTGCTGTTGGGTGTGACCTATTATGCTAATGAGTTCCTGCTGGGCTTTTTCTACAAAAATAGCCCTGTCAAGGGCAGTTCTCGAAAAGAGCTCTCTCAGTCCCACCTACCTCACAGGGCGTCTGTGGTGGGGAGGGGAAGGGAAAAGAGATTGTAAGCTGCTCCAAGACTCCTTTGGGTAGTGAAGGGCGGGCTACAAATCCAATCTCTTCTTCCCCTTCTCCTCCTCCTCTGAACCCAGCGGTTCTCTTAAAGACAGGAGAGGTGAGCAGAAGAGCTCGATTCACCCTACCCCGTACCTAGGGTTGCCAGGTCTGGCTTGAGAAATACCTGGAGGTTTTGGAGGTGGAGACTGGGGAGGGCAGGGTTTAGGGAGGGGAGGGACCTACACTTGAATATCTCACATCGCAACATGAAATTCCACAAATGGTTGTCGATCTAGGCATGTGAAACTTATGTGAAACTTATTAATGCACTATATAACAGACTTCACGTTCCTGGGATCCCAGATCACCGCAGACTGATAACGAGAGGATGTTTGAGAATTCTGACTTGATAGTCAGTCGAAGGCAGCTTCATGCATCTCGCCCGAGCTAAATGGGCGGAGGACTTGGCTCACTTCGCTGGTAAAAACCTGGTATCCCAGATCACCGCAGTCTGTGACAGCAGCCATGAAATTAAAAGACGCCTGCTCCTTGGGAGGAAAGCAATGGCGAATCTAAACAGCATGATAGAAAGTAGAGACATCACCCTGCCAACAAACGTCCGCATGGTCAAAGCAATGGTATTCCCAGTAGTCATGTATGACTGCAAGAGTTGGACTATAAGGAAAGCCGAGCACCGAAGAATAGATTCTTTTGAACTATGGTGCTGGAGAAGGCTCTTGAGAGTCCCTTGGACTGCAAGAAGATCAAATCAGTCAATCCTAAAAGAAATTAACCCTGCCTGTTCCCTGGAAGGCCAGATAATGAAACTGAAGCTCAAATACTTCGGCCACCCAAGGAGAAGGGAGCACTCCCTGGAGAAGACCCTGATGCTGGGAAAGATTGAAGGTCAAAGAAGACGGGGATGGCAAAGGATGAGATGGTTAGACAGTGTCATTGATGCAACGAACATGAAATTGAGCCAACTTCAGAGGACAGCGGAAGACCGGAAGGCCTGACGTGATCTGGTCCATGGGGTCGCGGAGAGTCGGACTTGACTGTGCGACTGAACAACAACAACAACTCTATAACCTGTTGCATATAAGTGATATTTGCTGCCATTTTCTCCAAGGGAAGTGATCTTTGGTCATCTGGAGATCAACGGTAACACCAGGAGATCTCCAGGTGCCACACCTGGAGGTTGGCAACCATAACTGTGTTTTCCCTGCCTCCTCTCCCCCCCCCCCCCCCCCCTGCACGCACTGAGACTGC